AGCAGCTCTGAGAAAATCTCGCTCACCACGGTACCGATCGCGTTCGGCCATGGCGCGCTGGAGATCGCTCGCGCGTCGCGTAGAGGCCTCGCGTAGGGCCTCGAGTTCGCCCTGAGCGCGGTGGAGCTGGGCCGCGAGGGAGTCACGTTCGACAGAAAAGGCCTGACGCTCCGCTCCGAGGCGGCGCGCTTCGCTACTGCGCTCGAGGTACCAATTCGTCAGGGTCCGAAGTAATTCTTCCACGTTCCAGGTCCGATCGACTAAATTCCCCAGGGCGCGGGACAACCGGGGGATTGCCGTGACTTCGCCACGAGCTAGGGTAAGACTGAGCGCGGTGGTCCGTCGGGTACCCGGACCCCCAACGGAACCGAGAGAGGGGAGTGGAGGTAACGTAGACCCCGCCCCGGTATGGTAACCGACATCGGGGGGAGGCCTCACTGTGTCAGCCCCAGCCAACGCGATGGCTGGGTGCTCGCCGTCGAGGTCACGATACCTCTTCCGTCGCGCCTCCCGCACCGTCGAGCCTACCCCCCCTTTGCTACGGGACGGCCCCGCAGCCGGTACGCTCGGGCGGGCCACGAAGGAGTCGGTCCGGGAGTCGTACGCAAGGAAGAAGCTTCGGGTTCCTGTCGTGTAATCCGTCCAGGGGCGGCGGTTGCGTTCGGGCACCGCAACGGCGCGGTGCATTAAGTCGAGGACCGAGGAATAGGACCACGGGACGTGCGGAGAGCCGCGCTCCAAGGAGTGTAATGTCCCATCGGGGAACGACGGCAAGACCCGACCGAGGAAGGACAGTACGCCGAGGGGCTGCACGAAGGCCCTCCCGTGCAATGCAACCTCGTACATAAAGGCGTTACACAGGGACCACGCCCATTCGCATTCGAAATTGTGGACCAAGTCCCCGTAGGCCGGGTGCGTGGGGTCGTTACACGCGAAGCCGAAGTGCTTCAAAGCGTAGGGGAGCAACGGATGCACCCCCAACGAGGGGAGTGCCTCCCCTACGCTCGCCGGAAGCCCCGGAAAATCGCCTCGTGATAGACCCGGGGAAAACGCGGCGGACGGGAAGACCCGTCCGTCTTCCTCTTCGGTGTGGCGGTACGCCGACCAATCGGTCGGCGCCAAGGCGATATGGTGGAGACGCATGAGAGAGCAGGCGGATTTCTGAAGAGCCGCACGAGCCTTCGAAAAGGCGCGAGGACGGGGGCTGACGTACAGCCCTGCCACCTCCGAGAGGATGAAACGATGGGGGCCTCGAGTGCCCTGGTGGAACAAGTACGTCGACATCCGGTCGACGTACTCCGCCTCCTCCACACTGTAGGCGAACGTCCTATCCCCCGGCACTGCGTCCGGAATCTGATAGGGGGCACCGTCCCCCTCCGATAACAAGCGACCCAAGGCGAGGGACGCTCCCTCCGTCAAGCCGCTTTCGTAGATGGCACGGACCCGTAGTAGATCGGGACGCAAGTACGTCCTCGCCAGGAGTTCGCCGACCGTGACGCCCGACCGAGCGTGACGGCGCCACGGGTACGTCAAGCGACCAAGCGGCAGCGGAATCGACCGCTTTAGGGGCACCCCTAACCACCAGGTGGAGGCGTCGGCTGCCTCCTCCCCCATGGCCGTGCCAAGTCGAGTGGCGGTCGGTAACGCCCCGGGGCGCCGGCAGCTGCCGAAGGCCCCGTATGAGCCCTCAGTCGGCTGGTACAGCCAGTCGTGCGATTCCCTGGCTCGCCCTCCTTGACACACCTCGAGCGCCTCGTCGGCGCGCGTGCCACCAACGGGCACCGAGCCCTCGGACGCCGGAGCCGGTGGAATCGCCGGCAAGCGAGCCGCCGACAAAGGAGCAACCAACTCCTCGGATACTGTAGAGTCGCGGGCTCCCCGCGACTTCTGGTAGGGCCGCTTGAGCAGCCACGCGCGAGAGACCGGCCGGGCGGAGTCCACCGGAAGAACCTCGCATGCGCCGTCCCGCTCGACGGGGGTAGCGGCGCCAATAGCAGGAGAGGGGGGCGCCGGCGCCTCTGACCCCCGGCGGGCGAGTGACAAAGCCGGAACCGGACCTTCCCGAACGGGCGGAGGGCCTGTCATATCAGGGTCCCAAAGAAGGGGACCAGCCACGCGGACGAGAGAACGAATCGGTAAGCTCAAAAAGGGGACGAACGAAGGTCGCGGGTCTAAGGGGGGAAACGGGAAGACGTGTCCCCACGGAGGGGACAGAAGGATGATGACGGATCGATCCGCGGATACACGCAAGGACGCGAGAGGAGGGGGAACGAGACGCAGCGAGGGACAGGGAGGATAGCCAGAGGGCGAAGCGAGAAGGAAGGGCCCAGCACGCGCGCAAATGAGGGCAGAGCGAGACACGAAGGACGACCGGAAAACAAAGTCGCCAGCACGAACGGGAAGGACCGTGTCGGCTACGCCGTCAGACATAGCTTGCGCTCTACAAGCACCCGTGGACGCGGACGTCCCCGCTTAAGGGGGGGGCCGTGTAGTATAACCCCCCCCTTGGGGCTTTATTTTAGATTAGATCAACTCAGAATCGGATCGGTTACTGTAGAGCTCGATGCTCTACAGTACCACCACGTGTAACCCCGAGTACAGGGGGCGCACGTGTACACGTGTACACGCGGGACCGAAGAGCGCGCACGCACACGTGTACTGTCAGCCCCGATGGCTGACAGTATTACAGTGTCGACCGACCGCTACAGTACGTCGCTACAGTACATCGGTACTGTACTATTATGATAGGTTATTATGTACATTAAATATGGAGCGGACCGGCGGCGGTGGAGGAGGACAAGCACGGACTTGTCACCCACCGACCGTCAAGGTCCGACTTCCCGCTTATTCTAAGGTAGCGTTCGCTAACTACCTTAGAGCGGCACCGAGCGCGGGTTGAGGACGCGCGCGGTACGCCCACGAGCCGGCTCCGCCTCCGCCCGTCGGTACTGGATCGTCACCCAGTACCGCGCCGGGGCGTCGAGGCGTCGAACCGCTCGCGCGTACCGGCGTCCTCCCCGTTCCCGCTCTACCACGCTACCCGGGCCCGCTGCCCGGTGCCGTTAGCTGGTGTCCCGCTTCACCCCCGTCTTCCCGTTCGGACGGGGTCTACGTCGAGCTGAGCATACACCCCTCTCCGTTGGGGGTGTTTATGCTACAGTTGCGAATTGAACGTGATGCGTACATCTTTCAGGAAGGGGAGTAATTCAATCGCGTTCGTTCCATCGAAATTGCGCATCGTGGGACGAATCCCACGACAACGCTGCACATACTTCGCGATTCGCCCCGCGTCCCCTGACGTGACGAGGGTCGAGACGTTGTCCAGGCGATACATCCTGTAATTAGCTACGGAGCTAAATTCCTGTATCATCGTGTGGACCGCCTCGACCCCGGGGGCCGCGGGGCCCAATGTGCCAAATGGGGTCACCGGTAGCGTACGGACGTCTACCGGGCCCCAACGCGTAGTGAGATCCTGGGGCTGATAGCCGCCCCACCGGGGATCAAAAGCGAGAATCGGTTCTCTCGATCCCCGGGTGGTATCCCCGCGTCTAGTCTCGTCCGCGTAAGGTACGCGAACCGTCTGCCGCATGTCTCCGGCGACATGCGGCAGGGCTTGGGTTTCGGACGCGAAAGTTGCGTCCATCCTTGTTCGATCTCCGCGTGCGGGCCGACTGGTGTCACCACCAGCCGGCTCCACATCTTGAGCGCCGGACGCGTTCGGAGGTACAGTACCACCGGGCCCTAACGGTGGGGCTCCGGGTGACGTCGCCGTCGGGGTACGTTCCATCTGACGAACAAGTCGGCGTGTAGAATTTAACTGCGCCGTCACATGGGCAAACGCGCGCATCTGCTCCGCGGAAGGAAAAGGTCTCGCGTCAGTACGTCCCGCAGGGGCCGTCCTCTCGGGGCGGCCTTCCCCGAACTCGTCGGGGGAGTCGAGACGCGATTCCTCGACGAGCACCAGTCGACTCTGCAGTTGATCGACTAGTGCTCGGAGGTTATCCAGAGACTGGGAGACGCGTTCGAACCTCCCTTCGCGAAGGGATCGTAGTTCTTCCATGCAACGCGAATATACCGCGTCGGTTACGTCGATTCGAAGCGCGGTCCGGACCTCCTCAATACACGTCGCGATCCGGTCATACATCGCGCGTGCGCGGCCTTCTGATAATTCAGGCGACGGTTCGCGGTCACTGAGACCTGCGCCACCGCCGCCGAATGGGACGCGGAGCGCGGCTGACTCGGAGGTGCGGAACGCGGTTGACTCCATATTCGCTGGCTCGGATTGAATTGAGGGGGCGGATCCTTCTTCCATTTCGACGCGTGCGGACGCGGACTGGAACGATAGTCTTCTTGCGATAATCGTGTGGCCTTCTAGGTCGGGAGACCAATGTAGCATAAACCCCCGGTCGCGTTGGGGGTTTAGCTGTGGTTCTTCGAAGACCTGTGTACGCGAGAGAGGACAAAAACACACACCAGAAAAGAACGCGGGCGGTGGTAGCGTGGTAGAGCGGTGGGGAGCGGACGCGAACACAGTACGCAGTAGAGCGGTTCGACGCGCTCGACGCCCCGGGGCAGCGCTAGTTAGCGTTCTAGCACCGACGGGCGGAGGCGGATCCAGCTCGCGCACGTACGTTCGCGACCGCTACCCGCGTTAGTTTCTAGTTAACGCGCTCGCGTTAAGAGAACGCGTTTAGAATAAGCGGACGGGGTTAAACCTGCGGTGGAGGATCTGGTACCAAGCCCGTGCTTGTCCTTGTCCTCCCTCCGCCGCCGGCCGCCCTGTCATTTAATATACAAGTAAATAATCTATCATAACATATACTACAGTATCTAGGTAGCGCCTTACACGGTAAGCTCGCGCGCCTTACTCCGGATCGTCACGCTGTACACGTGCACACCGAGCAGCAAGCGCGTACTTACAGGCGCGGGTGTGCGCGCTGTAGTGCATTTTGCGGGAGTACAGTAGTCACCCTGCGCGTTCGAATAACGTCCTCGCGATTATGCTACAGGATCAAGGCCGCGATGACCAGCCAGAAGAACGGTCGGCAGGGCTCTCCGCGTCGGCATCTACGAAGCCGCAACGCAGGATTGAGCCGCCACCGCCGGACGTGGAGGAACTCGACCTGAGCCACGTGCCGGACCGGCTGCGCGAGCGGTTCCGTCGGATGTCGAAGAAGTATTCAAGGGTGTGGGATGGGACGCTTGGTGAAATTTATACCACAGTCCATCGGATCGAGTTGATCCCCGAGACTCGTCCCATCGCAAAAGCTCCGTACCGGGCAGGACCTAAAGTCTGCGAGATTGAAGATGCAGAAGTACAGAAGATGTTAGAGGCAGGAGTGATAGAACCAGCGCAGTCAGAATGGGCGTCGCCCGTGTTGCTGGTGCCCAAGCCGGATGGATCAATGCGCTTTTGCGTAGAATACCGCAGGTTGAAAGCAGTAACGGTGAAGGACACGTACCCTTTACCGCGCATGGATGAGTGTCGGGACTCGCTTGGTGACACCAAAGTTTTCTCCGCGTTGGACGCGATCTCGGGATATTGGCAGATGCCTATCCCTGAGTGCGACCGCGACAAGACCGCATTTTCGTGTCACTCAGGTCTGTATCGCTTCTCGAGAATGCCCTTCGGGCTAACCAACGCGCCAGCGACGTTCTAAAGAGCAATGGATATCCTGCTCTCTCCGTTCCGTTGGAAATGCTGTTTGGTGTATCTGGATGACATGATAATTTTTAGCAAGTCGTGGGAGGAGCACATTGTGCACGTGGATGAAATACTTTCTGTATTGGAGAAGGCAGGTGTGAAGCTCAAGCTGCGCCAGTGCGAATTTTTCGTCGAAAAGATCAAGTACCTGGGCCATGTCGTTCGGCCAGGTACATTGGAGGTTGATGCTGCTCGCATCGCGGCGTTGGAACAAGTGAGGTACCCTCAACGCAGACCCAGCTCAGAAACCTCTTGGGGCTTCGTAATGTGTACCGTCGGTTTGTCCCACATTACGCGAAAATCGCGCACCGCGGGGGTCTTTTCTTGTTCATCTTCTCGTGTCGTTGGTCTTGGTGCCTGCTCCGCGTACGGGACGACCCGTGCGTTGGACGTCTGCCGGTTTGACGATTATGGAGGTGGCGAAACCGGACCGCGCCCCTCCATAATCGGGCCCTTGTTGCGTGTACCGATCGGTGGGTACACGCTGTACTCTTCTTACGGGTCGCCGTCCGGACGTCCCTTGCCCGTTGTACGCACCACGTGCGCCTGGACGTCATGTAAGGGCACTGTCTCTCAGTGTAATTTCGCGTTCCACTAATTTTTCTCCCCCTTTTTTCTCTCGTTTTTCTCTTCAGGATATGACGGTGGCTGTTGTCGGTACAGAATCTGTTCTCGCGCGACTATCTCGGCGGCGGTGCTTCAATCTCCGTTCCCCTGTCGGGTCTCGTGCTCAAAGGTCGTCCCTCTATCGCCGGGGGCAGCGTCGTCGCGACGTACTCGAGGTTGTCGAGTCCCCGACAGGGCGCGGGTTTTCCCGCGTAAGTGCGAGTGCGATGGCGCGGACAGAAGCGTTCCGGACAGCTGTCCGGTTGCCCAAGGCACCTTTGTCGCCCCCGTGCACCGTATCGCCGCCGGATATCGTCTCCCTGCTGAAAAGGGCTCCTCACGTAAGGATCGTCTCCCTGTGGCTGTCCGCATCCCGTTTATTTTTTGCGGGAGCAAACTTAGTCGACACTCCTCGACGTCCTGTGCCCTAACGCGGACGAAACGATGCCTTCGCGCTGGTTCTTTTGAAGCATTTCGGAGATCCCTGGGAGGGTGCCTCCCTTTCCCTCATACCTCTCGTTTTCAGGATTCGTTTACGTAGAACAGTACGTACTGTCCTTTCTCCTGCTTCTCGTTGGCAATCGCTGGTCGTTTTCGATGAACTCGGTTGTCAATACGTCTTGAAGTCTTGCGACTTATTCCATTGCTGCTCTCTGGGGACAGCTGTCTCTTCGCGCGTTCCCTTTTGTCCCATGTACGCGGGGTGCATTTCGTTCGAGGCGGAATTTAATCCGCAACGATGCGGTTGAGGGCCCCCTCCTCAAGGCTGAACGTCCGCGTTCAGTTCGGCGAGGAGTTCCCTACCTGTACGCGTCCTGAGTCTTTTCGCGTAGCGCGACACTAACTCCTCGGGGACGTGTGTACGCGCTTTCCAAGTAGGTTGGTCGTAGTCCGCCCACTTGATGAGGAACTCCGTAGTTCCGTCCTCCATGGTTCGATGCCGGAGTAGTCGTTCGACGGCATACTGAGTACCCTCAGTGACCTTGTCGGCAAGGTCATCCGGGATTGTCGTGGTCGTCCGCGTTGCGCCCGTCGGCAGTGGCGCATACACGCAGCGATCTGCGGAGACGCGCTCGGTGACACCATCACGATCGATCGTGATTGTACGGCGGTCATTGGCGAGCACGCGGTAGGGTCCGACAGCGGGCGAGGCTAGCTTGTTCGATGTCTTAGCCCCATCGGTGGGGTTGAGATATACGTATTCTCCGGGACGGAGCCGGGAATTAATACGTCGTATGCGCTTATCGAATTCGCGCTTGTAGCGATCCTGCGTCCGACGCAGGCTCCCGTACGCCTTCTGGATAGTCGATTCCAAGGTCTTGAGGAACTCGGCACGTTGGCTCCCCCTATCGGAAGGGGGCGCGTCGCCGTCCGCCCGTCGGAGAGAGAACTCCGGCGGTGGCCTGCTGAGCACGAGCTCAAACGGCGTGGTGCGTGTGGTGCGATGTACGTGGGAGTTGTACGCATACGTAAGCGGCCCCACGTACACATCCCAGTCGTCCTAGCGTTCACCCACGGAGTTCCGCAGCATCGAGGCGATTGTTCGGTTATATCGCTCGACTTGCCCGTTGGTCTGGGAATGGTACGCCGAAGTGTACAAATTCGTTATCCCCAGAACACGGCACGTGCTGTGGAAGAACTTGGCATTAAACTGAGGGCCGTTGTCCGAAAGAAACGTGCGAAGGACGCCATACTTGAACACCCACGAGTCACAGAACGCAACTGCGACCGTGTACGCTGTTATCGTGCGGAGCGCCACGACTTGCGTCAGTTTACTGAAGCGGTCCGTAATCACGACCAGGAACCGTTTTCCTGTCTTCGTCTTTGGGAGCCGCCCCAAGATATCGATCGCGAGGCTCTCGAGCGGCCTCGTGGCTGGGAACAATCTCAATCGATTGAGACGTTTCCTCAGCTTGACCCGGTTCATCGCGCAGGTCCGACACCCTCGCACCGCGGCTGCGACGGCTGCAGCCAGGCCAGTAGTACTCCCGTCGAAGTTCGTAGTACATACGGCTCTGGCCCGGGTGTCCCGCAATGGCCCGGTTGTGGCACAGGCGAAGGAGCCTGGCGCGGAGCATCCGAGGTACCACCACCTGAACGATATCAGGGTCGAAGAGGTGTCTCCGTTTGAGCACCCCTTGGTGGTCCTCGAAGAACGCGGAGTCTCGAAACTCGGACTGTCGTGCCGAAACGGTTTGGCAGAAGTCATCCACGCGTTGCTCCTCGGGTATCTCCTCGATCGTCAGAGAGGCCGGTTGGTCGTCCTGCGGTGGGACGACCGGGGAGTCGGGCGCGCCGGCCTCGGGGTCTTCGGCGCGCTGGATGTCGGCGGCGTCGAACTCGTCGTTCTCCTCCCAAAACGAATTGGGTCCTTGGAAAGCAGGGGCTTCGTCGTCGCCTCGCGGTTCGTCGCGCGTCTGGACGCGCGACCCTGTTCGGGCTTCGGCGTGGTTCCGTGTCGTTACGAGGACATGGACGGCCTGATGATCACAGCTTGCGGTACAAGCGTGGTCGGTGAGCTCATTGGATACGTCTCGAACGGTCGTACCCGTGTCGAAGGTGGGAAGGTCATCATCCACCTCAACGGTGGGGCGAGGGTCATCGGCGACACGAGGAGACACGAGGCGTGACAGGGGGTTGGGCACCTGATGCACGCGCCCGGGGCGGTACTGAATGGTGAAATCGTATTCAGCCAGACGTACCCGCCATCGGGTGAGTCTTCCGGAACTTTCCGTGAGAGACATGAGCCACCTCAGGGCGTCGTGATCCGTTCGGACGGTGAACTTCGTTCCTTTTACGTATGGCCGTAGTGTTCGGACGGCCCACACTACGGCGAAGTACTCGCGCTCCGTAGCACTGTAGTTGCGCTCACTATTAGACAGTGAGTACGACCAATACCCCACGGGTCGCCAGTCGTTCGGCTCTTCGTGCTCCTGTAGTGAGGTGCAGCCGAGGTGATGTTCACTCGCGTCGGTGTCTATCATGTATGGTCGACCATGCCGGGGCAACGCGAGGTTCGGCGGAGCGATCATGCACTTCTTAAGGTTCTCAAACGCCTGTAGTTGCGCCTCGGTGGGGTTGTAGAAGTCGGGATCCGAATCCTTGCGCGTCATGTCGGTCAGAGGACGCGCTATCTTCGCGAACCCCTTAACGAATCGGTGGTATACGATACATGCCCCGAGAAACGAGCGCACCTGCGTCAGCGTTCTCGGGAACGTGAACGTCTTGAAGGCGTCGGCTGCCGTATCAGCCACGCTCAACTTACCTGGATGTAACGTGCCCCAGGTAGTGCACTTTCGGACGGAAGAAGCTGCACTTCTTGAGCTAGAGGGAGATGCCGGCACTCTGCAACAAGCTCAAGACGGTATGGAGATGCTTTGCGTGTTCCGAGTTCGTACGCGAGAACACGATAAAGTCATCGAGATAGACGAGGCATATTTGCCAGCGGACTCCTGAGAGTATGATGTCGAGAGCACGTTGGAAGGTGCCGGTGCCCCTTTTAGTCCAAACGGCATGCGCAAATGGCGGTACGTACCCATATGTGTCGTGAAGGTAGTCTTATCCCGGTCTTCCGGAGCGACCAGGATCTGCCAATAACTGGAATTGCAGTCCAACGTCGTAAAGACGGCTGCATCTCCTAACGAGTCGATGCAGTCGTCCATACGGGGCAGCGGATACGAATCCGCTGCAGTTTTCGCGTTGAGGCGCCGGTAGGCCACGCAGAACCGAAGAGAGCCGTCTTTCTTCGGTACGAGCACCACCGGAGACGCCCACTCGGGGCTCGCGGGCTCGATAACCCCTGCGTTCAAAATCTTGTTGACCTCCTTGGCGACCATTTCGCGCATGGCCGGGCCCTTACGATAAGGCATAGAACCAATCGGTTTCGTTCCCGGTTCGAGGGGAATGCGGGGCTCTGTGGCTTGGATCGTTCCGAGCGCACCGCTCCACAGACTCGAGTGCTTACGGAGCATCTCGAGAACGTGGCCACGGAGCTTGTCATCGTCGATGTATGACAAGTCAATCTCACAAGCTTCTGAGTATGTAGCTTGTCCCAACGAGGTTTGCAAGTTAAGTCAAGAGGCCAGCAACCATCTAAACAAACCAAATGTGCACCGATTGGTTGAACTTTACAACCATACATTGCCATGCTTTGGACATACTCGTCACTTTCATGAGCTTCTCTCCGAGGGGGCACACCAAGCTGTGAAACGAGCAATATCAAAATCAAACCATAGAAACCCGCAGTTGTCGGCAATGAATGCCATCCTGGAAAACGACTGGATTTCTAGGCTTCGAGAGGTTACAGCATCAACTGAAGACATCGACAACATTGACGTCGAGACTGCTTCT